GAGAAGCGTGCAGCACTGTATGACGACGAAGTGGTGGACGATGTCGAGAGTTTACGCAAGAAGTGCAAGCTGGAAGAGGGAGAGAAGGCCAACGAGGGCACAGCTGATAGCGATAGCTCTAGCGACTCGAGTGATAGTTACGAAGAGGCTCCAAACACTATCTCGCTCAGTCTCTCATCTTCAGAGGACGAAAGTGACGATGACAGCGACTAAAGTTCAACAGAAGATGTATTGATGCAGGTGGCTGCTTTTCGTGCGGGCATCACGCTGGATGGGATGGAGTCAGAGGGTGTTGGAGGCGGAGGAGTTAGCCTTCATCCTACAGAACAGCAACGCCAGTGGTCTCGTGTCTGAGGCGAAGACTTTGGATGAGAATACACCGCTCGCTGATATCTACTCCTGTACGAAGGCTTGTTGATTAATTATCTGTCGCTGTTTAGCATATGTGGATTTTTTACTTACTAGTGGAGGACCAGAATCGCAAGAAGAATGTGGTGGTGTTACTGGATGCTAGTGTCATTCTCGGTTTTTGGGTTTCGTCACCGTCGCCACTAGCTCCGCGATGCTACGTACTGGGATGGGATCTCTGCCGCCGTTCGTGTTGGTCGACCGAGTATCATCTTGCTGCTGATGGTGATGTGCTACGGCTACTGGAGGTTGTATGACTGGTGTTTATACGTTGCTGCTAGAAGCTGGTCTCAGTCTCGATGTCAGATTTGGTCTCCATCGCTGCTTTCGCAACGGCGTTACGTTGGAGCGTGCGCGCGCTTAGCACATTGAGCCGCTTGTCTTCATCAAGGGTGGTTTGCGGTGGTTTCGCCCACTTTGCAAGCTTGGAAGTAAAAGGCGTAAGCGAGTAGAATGCGTTTCGGCTCGTCACGCGCGATACAAGCAAGTAACACTGCTGGGGTTTGTTGATTAAGTGGTTGCTTGACGTCCAGTCGACGACAACCATGGCATCCAACGTCTCGCCTTGGACCTTGTACACTGTTGATCCCACAGCGCACACGAACGGAAACTGCTGAAGCTTTACCTCGACATAGCGTCGCTGACCGTCGGGGGCCGGTGGCAACGAAATCTTAGTCTTTTTAAATGGCTGGGTCGCAAAAAAAAACCGGGAAAAGGTCCACGTCAATGCCCGCACGGATTGGCACGGCGCGGGGGCGCGGCAGTCGCAGCAGCGCGTAGTCGGGGAAATGGCTTGGCAACTGGACTATTGTACCGGTTGTGCCGTCTTGCACGAGCCGGAATGTAGTTGGTGGTTCGCTCGGGAAGTGCACGCTTTCAAGTATTCCTAGCGTGCCATTAGCAACACCCTTTGCTGTGCCGATGTTTTGAGTCACCTGGACTGGCATGCCGGTGATCAAGTCCAAGTAGGGTGCCATACGCCCAAAGCGGTTGTCGGGTAAACCAAGGACGTATGCAACGTCGCTACGGCCGAGCTTATTGAGCACGCCGTTGAAATTGGCCACAACGCGGATTGGGAACACCTGCGGCGGTAGCAGCGTCGCCGTCTGGGAGACAAAAGCATTATTAATCGCGAGTCGCTTCGCGTTTTCTGGGGTAACAAACACGCCGGCCTTCAGCCCGATCTCAGCCTCAACCTCAGCGTTCGATGGTTGCACGACACGGTTGTTGATGATGTCAACAAACTCTTGCGTCCATTCACCAACACGTGCATTCGCACATCCTCGCCCCCATTCGGGGTCGTTACGAAAGCGGACTGACTCGACGAGTACGATGACAGTAGTAAACTGTCTCCATAGCTGGAAGCCTTCGATGTCAGTCGTTGACGGCCGTGGCTTGGTGGTTGGATCGACGAATATTGCGTCGGCACCGACTGGCGGCATTTGCAAGAAGTCGCCTACGAGAATGATGTGCACACCTCCGAATGGTACATTGGGTACTTGCTTGTATCTGCGCAATAGCTTATCCAGTTTCAACCACTCGGGTTTCGATAACATCGATACTTCATCGATGACAAGCGCGTCCAGTGTCGAGAACGATTTATCTTGGATCGCATGCTTGATTCGCATGAGGAAGCTCGCCAAGGTCCGCGCGCCAATCAGAGTAGCAGCCTTTCCTGTAAGTGCTGTCTTCGTCAGCGAGGCTTCACGATGCCAGCTCATACAGAACGAGCTGACTGCGTTGATAACGCAGCTTTTGCCCGTTCCACCAGCACCACCAAGAAACATGAGCAGCTGCTCGTCTCTGAGCTTCGCTTCAAAGTCATGTCTACTCTGGTCACTCGCGACACCGGTGACGAGTTCTATGCCAGACTGCTCCTGCCGCAGAAACGTTTGTAGCAGTGCAGTCGCGATGATTGTGAATGCGGCGTGCTGCCGTTGATTGAGAGTAAACGCGCGTGACACCTCGGTAATTGTTGCGTAATAATTAATATCCCCTTGGTGTTGTCGA